CAGGTTCTGACAGGTTCTGGAGAACTGGTAGTGGAAATTTTGAGTGGTTTGGAGAACCGGCAAATGCCATCTCTGGCTGGCCCCAGACTGGGGTGCGAATGGAGATTTTGTAGTATACTTCCCTTGCCACGCCCACCACACCACGCTTACCAAGCCACACCACACCCACCAAGCAACACCCACAGAACTAGTATTTTAAAAAATTGAATTTCACCACTGGATAGGTAGCATGAGCAAAGGCAAAAACTGCATGGGAATGGCTTATTAGATGTGCCTGGGAACATATTTGGTAGATTTTTGATTGAAAGGATATGACTGATGGCAAAGAACAATATTTAGACATGCAGTGTAGCTTTATGCCAGAAAGACAAATGGTGGGTCACTGAGAAATAGGTGAAGGTGAGAAAGACAGTGTATTGTTCATTTCTTCATTTAATTTAGGCGAATGATAAAGCAAATGGGCTTGAATTACAGAATGGTGTGGAGTGTGGAGTGAATATGAAGTTGAAAGTTGATTGCTAGATGCAATAAAAGTCTATCGGATGGAAATAGAGCATTTGGGAAGATAAACAGAATGCTTACTGTAACTAAAGGGTTAAATGTTGAATATGGGCTAAGTCAAGTATTATGTTGGGCTATTTAATGTATGTGTGGATTAATACATAAATAATGTTTGTGGTGATATTAGAGAGCTGCTAGTTGGAGACATGAATATGCAATTTCTTTTGTAGGCTGATGATATCATATCGTTGGCTGAGAACCTGAATGATTTGCAAATATTAAAGCAATGTATAATCCAACAAGGTGCATGGATCTGAAAACCAATGCATCAAAGCAGAAGATAATGTGGTTGTGTTTTACAGAGAAAATGATGAGCAATTGCAAATTATGTATAAATGGTGAAATTGTGTACTTTGGTAGAATGTTTATCAAAGATGAGAAAATCAATGGAAAAATTTGAGGATGCACAAATCCTCAACTGTTGGCAGGAAGATAGGAATTAGTACAGTATATATCTGTTATGAGGAATACAGGGCAAAAAAGTGAAAATGGATGGCTATAAGAGTAGGTTTCTGCCTACTTTATTTCATGGAAGTGAGGATATATGTGGTCAAACATAAGTTGAATGTAGTAGGAGAAGAATTGTTAAGAACTGTTTGTTGTCAAACAAGAGAGACAATCAAGAATCCAAGCTGTGTCAGTCACCGGGACCAGAGGTTTAGCCTTCTGAGTTTTCAGATTCGTGCTGGAACCCATCCTCAGAGAACTTCTGGTAAGAGAGAAGTTCCCTGAGGATGGCCTCCGGCACAAGTCCGAATGCCTGGAAGGCTAAATCTTTGGTCCCTTGACTGACCCAGATTGGATCCTGCAACGTTATCCTGGGACATCTATATTCACCCCCATTCATGAGAATCAAGAATAACATGTGCCTATTGAACATTAATGGGGCTCTGTGGCTAAGACACTGAGTTTGTCAGTCAGAAGGTTGGCAGTTAAGTGGTTCGAATCCCTAGTGCCGCATAATGGAGTGAGTTCCTGTTACTTGTCCCAGCTTCTGCCAACCTAGCAGTTTGAAACCATGTAAAAATGCAAGTAGAAAAAATGGGAACCACCTTTGGTGGGAAGGTAAAAGTGCTCCGTGTGCCTTTGACGTTTAGTCATGTCATCCACATGACCACAGAGACATCTTTGGACAGCGCAGTCTCTTCGGCTTAGAAACTATATCCTTTCCTTTTGTTTTAACCATGTGTCTTTCTTTTTCTTTTTTCTTTTGCTTACTACTGTATTTCTTACTCTTTATTCACAAAATGTCACTTATCATGCTGGGGAATAATGATGGTTGCACGCTAAATATATCCTCACTCTTCAATATTTTTTTTTAAATTGCAGCTCCTTTACTTATGAATCATTTGCCGTTCCTGCCTCCAAGACTGGATTCTGTTGACATGCAGTCTTCTAGAATTCCAGGTCGAAAAAGAGGAAGACCTCCGCTCCATTCCAGCCCTATGAAAATGGCAGTTCATAATCTTTACTCTTCATCTCCCAGTTCTCTGCCAGCTGTGAAAATCCCCAAGAAGCGAGGGCGAAAACCAGGATATAAGGTACAACATTTTCTGTTTATGTTATTGTTGTTGTTGTTGTTGTTNGTCGATCTTGCTGTGACCCCCTAGGAAAAGGTTATGCCCCGCCCTGTATATGATAGATAGAGATGGCAAAAGAATGAATGCAAATCTAAAAGCATCACTGATCATTTATAAAATGGAATACTAATATTGAAGTAATTAGTGAAAGAATAAGGTGGTTAGGTCCTTAGTTGTGGGATAGATCATTATTTGAAAGTATCAAAAATGGACCATAAGGAAATAATGGACATGGAAGAAGGAGGAAGTGAAAGAAATATGAGAAAACTAGAACAATTGCAGGATGGGAAAGAACAAGTCCTATGTGAAAAATCATTCCAATTAATCCATGAAGCAAATGAATGGAAAGTAGACTGAACAAATGATAAAGGGGACACTGTTCAGAGTAGAATATAAATAAATAAATAAAGTGGCACAGTAGTATGTAAACTAGGAAGGATGAAGAAGGATGCTTGGAGGAATGATGAAGAGAAAGATGCTATGGATGAGAAAAATGTTGAGAATGATTGTTAAAAACATAGGAATGAGAAAAAGATGCTGTATGTGTATGTGTATGGAGAGTATAAGTTAGTTGCAAAAAACATAGTCAAAAAAGCCAATCTATTAGAAAGGCAGAAAAAAATGTGGAGCCGTTTTGGTGAAAATTTTAAAAAAATGTTTTGGAAGTGGATGAAGAGTTCTAATCAAAATATCTCCAGCAGTATGAATGAAATAATAAATGAGCTTGATACAATAGTTTGGGGTGAATCAGAAATGAGGGAATGCCGAATGAATCTGCATGGCAATTCTGAGAAGCATGTCTAAGGCACAAGGTTAGAAATTAGAAGACAGATCTAGTTCTGCCTTAAGTACAAAATCAGTTGGTGACTTGGGCCAGTCACTCTCTCTCAGCCCTGGGAAGGAGGCAAGGGCAAACAATTTCAGAAAATCTTACCAAGAAAATTGTAGAAACTTGTCCAGCTTGGAGTCAAAAGGGAGGTGGGAATGTTAGTGAAATAAATGTGGAAATATAAGTACCCATGAAGAAATCATTGACAAATAAACATGTGAATGAAGACTCCATATATGGCAGACAATTGAAAGTACGCTGTTATTGTTCTCCCCATCTAAAGGGACAGGTACAGGGTGAAATCCAGCAGGTTCTGACAGGTTCTGGAGAACTGGTAGTGGAAATTTTGAGTGGTTTGGAGAACCGGCAAATGCCATCTCTGGCTGGCCCCAGACTGGGGTG